CTCCTGACATCCGCGCGGCGATACTGGATTCTTCCGCTCCTCTTCCATCAGAGCCGGGCGCGAAAGGAGTCTGCGCGGCAGGTGGGCCTTCAAAGCCAGGAGGCGGACCTTGAAACCCCGGTGAAGGGCCGTTGCCGTAGTCGGATGGTGGAGGACCGTAGCCAGACGGAGGGGGAGCGTTGGTATAGTCAGGGCCTGAGGGAGGTGGACCAGCTTGGCCTGGTGGACGGTATGCCAAGTCATCGTCATCGTCGTCTCTTCTCTCGTTCCATACCCATGCTACGAGGCCTGCCGTTGCGACTGTGACAGTCACCGCAAGTGGAAGCCAGTAGCCCCAAGCTGTTCTTCGCGTCGAGGCCCCATAAGTCTGACGCCGTTGTCGCTCGTATGAGTACGACATGATAGCTATGACTTGTAAAGAGAACTGCGACAGAGGGATGACCACGGGGTGGCCATACGATAATGCCAGGGAATCAACGAAAACGCTTGCTTGCTCGGGTATCTGTTGACGAGCTGGGATCTGGGATCTCTGGTCCCGATGCTTGGCAAAGCGGGAGGGGCTGAAGATTCCTCCTGTCGCCCAGGAAGACCGATGTGCAATATCCAAAAATATTTGTACCAACCCCCATCAGAGTCATAAATAGTTTGTTCACTCCAATGGACTGGTAATAAAATGCTTTCGCTCTGGTAATGACCCTTATTTATTTACTTCAATGAAAAGAAGATCATATGACAAATCGACAAGATCCTTTTTCCAGATCAAAGTTTTTGACCGACTGCCTCGACATACCATTTAAGCAAAACCACAATTTAATAGAGGGAGGATGCCTCACGCTTTAGGCATGCCATCGCCAGGCTTCCAAGCTATAGTTTTGTGCGGCCCCGGGGTGTCGCTGACCACATTCACCGCCAGCCCGGAAGACTTTCCCAAAGCCCTCGTTCCCATAGCCAATCGGCCCATGGTATGGTACCCGTTGGATTGGTGCTATCGCATGGGAATTACGAGTAAGCGCACGTTTCTCAATTCTGGTTGTCTGTACATATGTTTGCTTCCATTTTCCACTGCCTGTCTTGCTCCAAATCTCTACCAAGAGAAGCTCTTTGTGCTTTATCTTTTGCCGATATTTCCACCACTATGAAAAGAAAGAAAATGTCAAAACTACAACAAGTCTAAACGTTTTATTTGTGTGCACAACCTCCATGATCCAAAAGTTAACGAGGACCAAAAGACATCAAACTCATCACCCCGCCTTCTTCAGCCGCGGCCATCACCACAGCCCTTGCCCAAAACCCGCACCTCACATCCCTTCCCCTCCCCAAGCCGGACCTCCTCGCCCCCTCCTCACTCTCCCAAAACACGCCGACCGCTGAAATCCTCCGCCATCCCGAAATCCAAGCAGCGATCAACGGCGACTTCATCGTCCTACCCTGCGACCTCGTCTGTGGATTACCCGGCGAATCATTGCTCGAAGCATGGATGATCCACCAAGGTGGGCTGGGCGGAGCGAGCCTGGAATCTGAGGGGTATCGGGGGGCGAAAATGGGGCTAGGTGGGGAGGGTGGTGGAAGGAGTGGAGGGTTAGGGGTATGGTTCGAAACCAAAGGTGAGGACAGCGTCAAAGGTGCCGAGACGGACTTTGTGATCACGACATCCTTACAGCAACCCGCGGTGCCTCCACCAGAAGGCTCCCTGAGACCACACATCTCGAAGCTGCTTTACGCCACAACGACGGATACACTCCGCGATATTACCGAAGAGAAGAAGGGATTTCCTATCCGCCATGGCCTGATTGGCAAGCATGGCCGGGTCAAAATGCTCACCACCCACCGCGATGCACACATCTACTTATTTCCTTACTGGGTCCTTGACATGATCAAGCGGAACGAACACTTCGACAGTATCAGCGAAGATGTCGTCGGCTGGTGGGCTAAAGCGGGCTGGCAAGAGGGTTTAGCCGAGAAGCTTCGTCTGCGCGAAGTCTTCGACCCGACACACTCCTCTGGGGAAGGCAGAGATGGTGAAAATGGCATCCATGCGAGTGGGAACATCGAAGACGAAATCGACCTGGCGAGCATGAGCAGTACGAATGTCAGCGCGCTCAAAGAGAGAGAGTCAGCAAAACCACCCCTCTCAGTCCCACCATTCCTATCTTACGTGCACCCCACAACTACAGCCACCACCTCTTCACCCCTAATTCGCCGCGTTGACACGCCTCACCTCCTCCTGCACACCTCCCTCCACCTCGCTACCCTCCCACCCTCAACAAACCCCCCACCAAACACATATCCCACAGGACCCAGCCCGCTGTCCCACTCCCAGAAGATCTCAACCGACCCATCGCTAATCGCACCGCACACCAATATTCATGCCCCAACAACCCTCATCGCCCCAAACACAACAGTCGCCACCCATTCTGTCATAAAGTCCTCTGTCATTGGCGCCAATTGTGTGATCGAGGAGGGGGTGAGGTTGACAGGATGTTTGCTGATGGACGGTGTTACCGTAGGGGAGAAAGCCGTACTGCAGGGTTGTATTCTAGGAAGAAGGTGTGTAGTAGGCAAGGCAAGTAATCTGAAGGAGTGCGAGGTTCAGGAAGGTTATCAGGTGGAAGAGGAGACGGAAGCCAAAGGGGAGAAGATGATGGTTTTTGAGGGACTGGAGGAAGGACTGGGAGAGGAGGAAGATGAGGCGGGTGGAGAGGGTATCCTTCTTGGGGATGAGTGATGTATCTTTGCGGAATATCACTTTGAGCGGTATTGATGTCGATCCGAACTGGTCCCCTCGGCATCGGGGCCGTCCCCTCGAAAGTAAACGCCATACAATCTAGCATGGGACGTAGAGCAGGCTCCGCCAGCAGAGAAAGTGGTAGTTGTAGCGGCACAAGTCCGCTGAAGTTTGGCGACATCGGCACAAGAAACATATCATGGTGTTTGCCAACCACTCTATTGGAATCGCTCCTACCGATCAATTGCCCAAACTCCCCACGGTTGTGCAAATCTCGAAACAGTTTGGCACCCAAGACTGCCACACATTTAACGCCTACCGGAGAGATATATGGACTGCCACCAACCCGTCAACTCCTCGTCATACTCGTATACGCCTGAGGATACGAATGAGAACCGTAGGCGGTCCACATACCAAGACTCTAGCGCCAGTATACCCGTATTCCTCCTCCTCCTATCGGACAGAGAACCAGCCGTGTCATATGTTCGAGTCCTGCGTGATGGCAGACTTGGTCCCGACTCCGACTTCGAAGCTCAGAGATCTATAAAAAAACCCTCAGGATCATTACGCAGATCAGGTACCTACTGAGCAATATGAGTGATCGCAGCCAGCTTCGTCCAAAAGTAGCGGGGCCGGTCAGCATTCACGGAAACACATTCGCGCCTGATCAGATATACGATCCAGAAGACGGCCGAAGCCGGGACATCTGGTTTTAGCCGGATCTTCCCTGTGCGACTGATCAGAGGGACTGTCGGCGCGCCTTTGACCAATTGTGCGATCTGAGGCTTTCCATCATCGGCGCTATTATCGGAAACTGCTGGGCCATCGTAAGGCATTCAGCCAGCCCTCCAACACCAAGAAGGCCATAAGCGTGCCAAGGGTGCAATCAACCTAGAAATCCGAGCCTCGACATGCACCGGAGCCTACACGCCGCCTCCTCAATTTCTGAGAGGCGATGGCGTGATGCTCGCTAACCCAAAATCGCAGCAGACAGAGGGGAGGCGCCCAGCAGAGCTTGTGCGATCACAAGCACAGCCAAGAACCTCCGTCAGTCCAGCCATCGGAGAATTACGGATCCAGGTGTTGCCCCGCAGGCAACAGCTCCCGTGTCTCATTGGCCCCAAAAGCCGGCCAAAACGCATCTCGGGAACCTAGGACCGCCACCGGCTCGCCTGTCTCTCCCAGAAAGACGCACGTTCAGGGCTACCGTCAACCGGCCGTCCGATCCGGAGGTTCCGGAAAGAGTGGGTTTTTCCCCAGAAATCGAAGAATGCGCAGAGCTGGAAAAGTCAGCTGAAAGGCGTCGCTGCGGGGTCGATGCAGGCGCGATGCAGGTGGTAGATCTCTTAGCTCGGGGGGCTCGAAAAAAAGGCCTCTGCTCTGAATTGCATGTTCAGCTGTCAGAAATCCGTGACCTCCTGATGCCATTCGTGAAAGGATTGAGACCCTCGAGCAAAGTCGGCAACATTGGCCGAGCTCTTGCAGGGAGCTTATGCCAGGCTCTGCGGAATGATTTTCGTCGTATATTGCCCGTGAGTGGTCGGTCTTGTTTTCCGAGCCCCACATTCCTGAGAGTGAAATGTTTCGCAATCTGTGGGGAAAAGACCCTGCATGTATGCGGCTAGCAAGATCTGGTATATCAGATCATTGGCTCGAGCGCAGCACCTCCCTGCAGGAGAGCTCTTTGGGAATATCAGATCAAATAGATGCAATTTCTTGAGGAATTCAGATCATCCGGCAACGGGCTGGATTGCACTGCCATAGTATCCTGATATGCAGTAGCACAAGTCGTTGGCAACAGTGGAGCTGATGTAGTAGAACCAGCTCATAATGTACCGCCTCGACGGCCGATAGTAGGCTCAGATTAGTCGGTTATTGCGATCACTCGAATATCTTCACTCTACTGCTGTCCCACGAGATGTAAGTAATCACCCCATGCATCAGATAGTACGTACCAGTTCTTGCGATGAGTAAGGTCCCTCACGAAGGTCCTGCTTAGCCACTGTCCATCAGGGTCTAGCGTATAGTTGCTCACTGAAACATTGACCCTCTGGAGCAGCATTCCAGCTGCCTTGCTCGCGCCTCTCAAATATCTCGGGACCCTTGAAGCCTATAAGGATCGCGAAAGGTCCATCCTTGTGTACCAGTATCCTTCCGCGCTCTAGACAAGTTGGTATTTTTGAACAGATTCTTGGTCCACTTTCGGAGACTACCTCTGGTAAGTTGACGGAGCTTCTGTACGTGCGGTGACCCGCTGACCCCGTTTACAGATCCGATGTCTTTCCTGGAGCGTCCCCTCCCCTGCGATGATGACTTTAGTCTCCGTGGCAGCAAGAGGACATCCGGCAGCCTGGCCGACGTAGCGCAATTTGTCAACCCTCAGTATACGCAGCTCGGATTCTTGACTCCGGAAGCATCGCCAACAGATGCTACACCTCGCCGTACATCATTTGCCTTGTCCGAGAAGAGGAGTACCTACTTCTCGGGTTCATCAGCAGCGTCCTCTTTCGCGTCCCAATCAGGATGCGGGACACCGTCTTCATCAACCCCGGGCTCGTCAGCATCGAATTCACGCCGTCAATCGCTACTACCAGAGAGTCAGTATTACCTATCTGCCATTTCTTCAAGCCCGTCAAATCGTCCCCAAAAGCCGGAGAGGGCTGCAGTCACTGATCAGTTGCCCTTGCAAGAATCTTCGCTCTGGTCATATATCACAAGCACAGATACAGCATCGTTGATCACCGACGGTGCGGCAGCTTGTATGCCAGGAGGCGACTTTACCATTGTAGCTCAAACTGATTCTCCGTGGTTATATGGGAGGGCAGTACAACCTGCGCAGATTGACGAATCGACAATTTTGAGCCGTGATCTCGAAGCAGAGTTCAACAATCCGATCGCTGCTGGAGCTTCTCACACCTTTGAACTCAATCAACCCCTTTTCAATTACGGACAGCCCACGATTTTCGAAAGTCCGCCCCCGCAGCCAGACACAGAAATGTACGACGCAGCGGGCGACTCCAGCCCCAATGCCCCTTCGCTAGCACCACCATTTGAAGTATGGCAGGGAAAATACGACACTGATAGCTTGATGCCAAATGCTGCGACAGCGGACCTCATTAGGCAAACTCTCAATAGCTCATCGCACAATTCGAAAAGATTACTGAGTGCTTTTATTTACCCTCTTCCGTCCGATGATGATTCGGAACGCGACCATGCAGCCTGTCAGACTGTCAACAAACGCAACAAGAGGCAGAAACAGGGCCAGGATATGTTCAATCGCGAGCCGCGGCCTAATCACAAACCCCACAAGTGTCCACACTGCAAGTATGCGTGCAACCGCCAGGAGCATCTGCGAAGACATGAGATGTCTGTACACGATCCGAAAGAGATGCTTCCGTGCGCATTTGACGGGTGCATAGACCGCAAGACTGGCGGGCCTCGGGAGATCATATGTCGTTCGGACAACCTGAAGGCACATTATACCAAGACACACTTCAAGTATGGCAGCAGTGAAAAGGGTGGTAAGAACTATAGAAAGTCCATGAAAGCGGCACACGAAAAGGGTCTTAGTGTGTACGATCCTAGATGGACATTGTTGCTTGACAGAAAGATGAATGTCAATCACGAAATCAAGGACCACCTGCATGTTTGGAAAATGCTGGGCTACTCAATTCTCGAGACTAGGGACACAAAGGTCCAAGACGTAGTACCGGATTGGCAAGGACTAGGTGATAAAACACTCCAGAAGGCTGATCCACTCCAGAAGGCTGATCCAAGGTGGAGGGCATTGTGGGATGGAACCCTCACCTTCGACAAAGCCATGGAGAGGGGACAAGATATGAAGGAATCAGAAGCGCAAGGGCTGCTAGGGGTCACCATGTTGGAGACAGAGGCTATGGGAATTAAGCACCTTGATCCTCGATGGACAGAAATACTCAGCGGCCGCATGAGTGTGGAGCAGTCAGAGAAGCTTGGAGTAAAGCACAGGAATCCTGTGTGGAAAGAGGTTGCCAGGCACAGGACTCGATTATGAGTCGGAAAGTTCTGATGATTATGACTGTTGGCATGAAACGATGTTAATGACTTGGATGTGGTAATGGGTGATGATTTACTCACTTCTTGTATACGTATTGTTTCCTTTTTGTCTCGGCATATTACCGTATATTGCGAGCATGTGATGGGAATTTAGTCACAAGCTGAGAACTGCATCCAGTACCGAAAAGCTTTTGTTAGGATACTGAGGTACTCGGACCAAGCAGCACTTGGAACACTCGGCATAGGCATGAGTCACCAGAATATGAATGGTTTTAGACTAGAGTGGATTGTTTGACCTCTTGTAGCGACACAAGATCCGCGTCGCTGCTACCAGCGCCATTATCCCCGTGCTGGCACCAAGCGTCAGTGGAAACATGCCATTTCTCAAGAGGACTTAGTGGAAATACCGTCTTTAGAGGCGGCTTTCTCAATGTTGTGTCCCTGGTTCTCTTTTCCCTTACCAAATACTGACTTGAACTTGTTCCCAACGGCCTGTAGGACGCCCTTGCTATCCGACATGGGAAGGGCTCCTTTCTCGTCCAGAAGGTTGATCCTAAGAGTAGGCACCTCAGAGCCACCGCGAGTCGAGCGGGAAGAGTCCAAGCTAAAGCGCTGGCCACAGTCGTTGCACTGCACGACTTCAAGCCCTTCGGCATCGTGAGCCTGATCACAGACAGCACAAGCAGGACTGTTTTCCATTGCGACAGAAAGATTCAGGCGAATTTCCAAAGGAACGAAACGAGGTATTTTAGTGTAGCCAGGACGTGGGCGGTTCGTGGGACCGCCGAGGAACAAACCCTGACGCGGTGAGGATTGTGTAGGAGGCTGATTTTCGAGAATTCGTGGTAGAGAAGCCGATCTACGTTGGTTTGGTGGTGGATGGCGGCCTAGAAAATTGTATCTACGTTGCCTTTCATACTCGGTTGTGCGAGTTCGCGGGACGCTTGACTGCAAGGTTCGAACGGATTCGAATGAGCTTGATCGTAGCGAGCTGGCTATGCCTGGAATGCGCTGTGGATATTAGTATGTAGTGCAAATTGCACCCATTTTAAAGAAGTCCTTACCTGGTTTGGCACAGGCGTTGAATGAGGTCTTGTGGTACTCGAGTCTGTAGGTTGTACGGCCGGAATCTCAGCTTTGCTCGTTCATCAGCTTTCTCTTATCAAGGCAGGTGGAAGGGTAGCTTTACCTGGTAATGTCGAGGACCCTAAGGACTCCTGAGACTGCACAGGGGCGAAGACGATAGCTCCGGAAGGTGCAATTCTGAGCTTAGCCTTTGATAGTTTCGAGGTACGAGGGTGGATGAGCTTCAAAACCTGATCAAGGCCAGACGGCTTGATTGGCAAAGCAAGATCGCCAGCTGAGGATCTGTGCGATAGAGTCTTCGTTCCTCTAATGGCAGATTTGATGAGGATGGTTGGATGAGGGAGAAAAGTCGGAGTGTTTGGGATATCATCCTTCTTCGCCGAGCCACCCCCAGTTCTGCCTAGTCCATGGGGAACCATATTTTAAACGCCTCGTAATGCAAACACCAAGTATTCAACATGCAGTCAGGCAATCTTGAAAGAGACGGATTCTTTCCACCTAGCTTACAACAATATGGTTCGACGCAGTGTCGGAGGCAAAGAACCGCACTGAGATGTCCCCACACCTTGCTAAAGCTAGCTGATGTGCTTGCAGCTATTACAGGCACCAAGCGCCTCCTTCTGATGTCCTGGACGACTCGAACATGGACAATGCAAGTTGACAGCACTGACAATAGTTGAAGAGAAAAATACTGCTGAAGCTTGCGGCTTGGTCGCTAAAAGTCTTGTGACTCGTCCCAACCTCCGAGCAAGCTGCTACCCCACACGGACAAGAAACGACGTTACTTCTCAATTTGAGAGGTTTATCCTGAGCCAAGGGGGCCGATAGTGGTGACAAGATACAGAGAACTTGCTATCAGCTCAACCTTCTGTCCTCGATCTCGGAGTGGGATTGCAAGAAGCTGCTCAACGATCTCCAGGTGTTCAAGACTCTACCTCAAGCCTGAAACAGCGTCGAGCTGCAACCACCGCTGATGGAATGGAAGGGTAGCTTCCCCCCACTTGACCCAACAAGAACGCTCTCGGCAAGTCGCTTTCGTTGCTGGGGCTGGACGTCAATGTTGTGCAGCGAATGGCAGCTTTCGATGGCAGCTTGACCAGTCTCGCGTCTGGGATTCTATGAGCATCAACGCAGTCAGCAACTGCTTCGCCCCAATAAGACTATGGGCCACTTGCTAATCTTGGCAGTCCGTATCGTTCACCTAAAGATGACAGGCCCTCTGATCCGGTTTGCTGCTCTATAACAGCGTCAATACTCTCGAAGGCGACTCCTGCCTGACCTGCGGAACGAAAGACTGTTGGAGTAACGACTGCACTAGGCAAGTATATGCCAATGGAAAAGTGATACCTGAGGAAGAAAGCGTACGTTGAAAGCAGAAATAACAGAGAAGAGGTGGTTGGGTCAATGCTCCTGCCTGATGAATCCATAGAGCATACTGACGAGGAAGGCAGGGACGACAAGTGCGGACAGCACAGGAGGAAGGATCAACTGGCCCGCTCCGAGTAAGACTTGATGAAAGGTCTTCGCAGACAGTGCTGGGAACCTGGAAGGATCCATACCATGTTGAAGTATACAGAGCAAGAACGCTAGCTCCCTGCACACGAGAGCCTTCCAGGAGGTTAATGAAAACAGATATCTGTTCTAGCTCCTTAAGACTAGAAAGGCTAAGCCATAGAAAAGCCAGCCTCCCATCTCGCCAATCCTTTCTAGACTCACTCGAAAGACAACTCCGGGGGCCGGGGTGGGAGAAGCAGCTGCCAGAGATGCTGTGCCCTCCCCGGGTGCCCAGTAGAAGCCAGGGGGGGGGCCTCCATTTGGGCCGCGAGCTGGCGGGCTCAGATGATCCCATCTCATGCCGAGAGCATCAGGCCCAGTTGATTGAGCAATGTGGCCCTCACCTCACTTCTACACTCTTCATGCACACTCACGCGTCCGATGCTGGCCCTGGCCAACCCTTCCCTGAAAAGTTTGGTGGGAATGACTCTCTCTTGGTATTCTGGCATGACAGTGATGTCAACAGCTGTGTGTCTGATATGCCCCCTTATCGGTGCTTTCCGAAACACTAACCCGTTTCGCGTAAGCGTATTGTGGCTTCCAGACAACTGACTGGAAGAACCTAAAGCATACGACAAGAAGAGGACTTCAAAACTGCTTTGGTTCTACATCTTATTTCATTTCCTCTTTATCTCAGAATGCATTACCTTTGGAAGGTCTGGCTGTTTTTATCTCATCCTGGCCAGCTACCGCTCTATCTTCTTGCTCAGTCAATTCCACTTCAGCCCTTCATCACTGTTGACTCAGAAGATGTATCATATCCACTGCTGGTGTAGCAGATTGTCATTAGGAGTTTGTCTCCAATCATTGGGGTATCAAATGCAGCACCTCACAGACAGAGACTCTCGCTCATATAGATCCATACGCAAGCTGTTCATATGCCCTTAATCCCTAGCCCCGAATCTCACCCAGCGATCCCCATCTCCTTCAACCTGGCCTTCTTCGCCTCCTCCTCCCTCAGTTGATCCCCCCTCCCCAGAAACTCCATCCTACCCAAATAGCTCCCCCCACTCTTCTCCGCCTTCTCCAACTCCTCCCGTAGCCCTTGCCTCTCAACCTCTGCCTCCCAATCCAACTTTGACTTCTCGACCGTGTTCAGCTTCACCTCTTTCTTCTTCCCGAGCTCCCACACTCTAGCCTTCGTCGCGGTGTTCAGATGCTTCGTGCCTTGTCCGCCGATGCTGGTGGGCAGGTCCGAGCGGAGAGGACGGGTGACGCCCTTGATCAGGCACTGCGGGTTGGGATCCAGCAGCCCCTTTCGTGCTAGAGGACGGCGTAGAGGTGGACCGGCGATCGCGATGGAGAGTTTATCTTTGGAAGCTAGATAGGCTTGGGCCTCTTTGGACGCGGCGGGGACGATTTTGGTCGAAGTGTGGGTTTGGCCGGCGAATGTGTAGGTGTGCGGTATGGTGATTGTGGGCTCGGGACTTGAGACTTGGAGAGATGGGGGGAGTGTGTCTTTCGAGAGGGTATCTGAGGATGGTGGAATGTTCTCTGCGTTGGCGTTGACGTCTGGAGGCTTCTGAGCATCGGTCAGTGGTCGAGAGGCTTGAGGATTGTTCAGGCGTGCCCAGACGGAGTCGAGGTCGATGGTTGCGCCTGAGGATTTGGAGACGGTTTTCTTGGTTTCATCACCTCTGTCAGACACATGTCAGGGCCAGGTTCGGTTCTCAACAATTGTAGCAAATTCAGTATCGTAAAGGGCAGTATACCCTCCCCTTCCACTCCTCAATCTGACCCTAATACCCACTCCCCTCTGTCCGTTCTCATCCTCGCCCTCATCCAATACATCCTCATGCCCATCCTCAACTTTCTCTTTACCGTTCCCTTTTCCCTTCCGCCGCCTCTTCTTGCGCTCCTGTGCCACAATCCCCTCATCCCCACTCGCCATGTCCACGTCTCCATCCGCATCTGTTTTCCGTTTTTTGTCTTTCTGAGCTGTAGTCGTAGCTGCATCGCTAGCCTCACTTTCGTCGCCTGAGGATGGGGAGAGTGAGGCATCGAAGTCGGAGTCGGAGGCGGAGTTGTAGGCGTCTTCTTCGGGGGTTGGCAGGGCTGGTGGCATGGTGGCTGTGGAAAGGGTAGGCGGGAATTCTGCTTGAGGACGAATTGAGAGAGACGGTGTGGTCTTCCAGCCGGTACCTGTGGTGTAGGATGACCAGCTAGTGGCGAGAAATGGCGAGCCGTTCCGTAAATGTGGAAGGTAGAGGCTGGTCAACCTTTGGAAAAGTGATTGGGTGCGTACGGAGCATGCCAATGAATAGTGGGGTACGGCAGGGCTTATTAGGGCTGGGGTTGGGCAGTAAGCTTTATTCTTGCTCTATCGTCGATCGAACTGTAGAGAGAAGCCATGGGCTGGAGTCTAAACACCTCCAGTAGCTCCTCGATGTTGAAGGGAGAGATGACTGGATTTCATGACCTTGTTCCAATACAACTGCTATCCATATCTGCGTACCCCAGGCATCCAGTATATACAGGAAGGCCGTTGAACCATCATACCCGCGTCCCAAACTCCACTAAAGGCACCACAGCCCACCCAAGCAGCTTCGATGTGCACATGCCTCTCGCTGCTCGCCCCACCAATAGAAAATCGCCTGACCGGCGGTTATTCACACCAGCTCAACCTCGCTCTTGGCTGCCCCCACGCCGCCCTTCTTCAATTGCATCTCCACCCACCATCCCCAAGCCGTAGCTCCCACAGCCAGTACCTCAACAATGACCAAGACTATGACCAAGTCCAACGCCGCCATCCCGTCGTTACAGATTTTCGTGAAATTTGAAGGCGCAACGTTATCAAAGCCATGCCATCTGCAAGTCCACGAATTGAGCGTTCCGGAATAAGTGTTGTAGGCTAAGTTGTTGGTGACGACCGAAGCGAATACGATGGTAAAGAGGGCGGCGCAGAGACAGAGGAAAGAGAGAACGGTTGAGACGAGGTTTGTATTGTGGAGTCTCTGTCGCTATACGATAGTTGTCAGTATCGTGAACAACGGTGATGGCAATGGTGCGACGTACCATGGGAATGAAAGCAACAGCGAGATATGCAAGACTCAAAAGCGCGACAGCGATGCCGCATCCTAAGACTGCATGGCTGGGCCGCAAATCGACATTCAAAGGCCAGAGCGGTAGTATCCATTCAGGCTCAAGCCGAGAGTTCGAGAAAGCCCGTAAGGAAGCACCGGCACAGGCAATTATGGCGACCGAAACAACCAAAGTGATTGCTGCGATCGCGACTCGGATGAGATGAACCCATCTGGAAAAGTTCTGGTATCTTGCTGCAAGAAGGTCATCTGTGGTGTAGGCTGGGGGCCCGATGCTTGGGCTACGGCCAAGAGTAGAGAAGGTTGGGGATGTATTAGTAGTCATCTGGGGCTTTCGGTCTGGAGAAGATTTCACGGCTCCAAAAGCCATGGCAAATATTTGGGAGAAGTGTTGATGTTGAAAGGCCAGCGACAAGGTCAACAAGAAGAATCACGAGAAGGCGAAGGGAGATTTGAAACTTGTTCTGAAGAATCGGCAAAGGTCATATGAATTTAAGGGGAGGTCGTCCACGGTGGGGGTCCTATTAATATCGAGTCTCCATGCAGGGCGACATCTATCCCTCTCTCCGCAAATGATGCACAAGTGATAACGCAGCAAAACGACAGCTAGACGCCCAACCTAGTTGACGACCCTTTGATAAAGTATGCATCATTTACGATGTCTCATTGAAGCTCGCGCGTAATCTGAATGATTGGTGGAGCTCTTTCATGCCCCTGGGCTAAGACACATCAACGACTGCAGCAAGATCCTGAGCAAGGTGGCCATTGGACAGTCTCATGACCAGCCGGAGGCCTCAAAATTCAAAAGCCACTCAGCGCTTAGAGAGATTGATATCTGATGCAATACTGAAAGGTGAGTGGAGGAGCTCGGGGACGGGGATGTGTTGAAAACAGGGTTGCGGGCAGATCCTCTAGCTGCCGATCTCTTAGCGTCTTGGTGGGGTCGGCGTTTAAATGTGATGCTATTTTGGGCTGTTGAACACTTCAAGTACTGTGCGCAGTCACAATATGGGCATAGGTTGACAATAGAAAAGAGCTTCTCTGATTGTCCGTGACTCAACGGCTAGACATATTATACAGATGCAGCTTTAGACCCAGGAAATGATCCATTCCATGCAATTCCTCCGTTCCCTAGCGTTTTTCACGATCATTAAACTTGCGCTCGCAGCCTTAGTAGGGATAGACTGAATGCATGACTCCATGCTCAATGCTGCTGTTCATAGCCGCATCTGCAGTAATGATGAGGAGCCTCTGAGAAGACCCTAGCTTTCGGGGTGAGAACAATGCCACATCCCAACCAGCTACATGTAGCCAATGACGCGACATCAGGGTAGCGAAGCAATTAGAACCCTGAATGCTTTCAAAAGGCGTAAGCCACCCTGAGAGACTTTATGCCCCACTCCGTTGAACAGTATTGAATTCTCGATGATGAGGTAGAAAGCTGCCTCGAAGCTTTCCGCAGTTAAATTCCTTTGCCGAGGTTTTCTCTTAACGTGCGCAGATCCATGGGTCGTTTGATCACTGCGTAGTAAGTCGGAACTTCCTCTGCAACGGCGTCAACAGGCTCGGCAAAGGGTTCTGAATCCTCGTCGCTCTCTCTCAACAAGCGGTCAATTAGGCGGCGCAGAAAGATCTTTCGGGTGCGGGTCATATCTGACAATGAGATTTCCGACTCCCTATCATTCGAATCTTGAAGCTTGATCCTTTCTCTCCGCTTGGATCTCCGCTTCCTGGGTGGAGCGATGTCGGACTCTAACGGGTCCGAACCGCTATCATCTGTAGTGGCGACCTTGGGTCTCAGTCTAGGTCTCCGCTTTCTGCCTAGAGGAATATCTGATCCCGAAGGCTCTGCATCGCTGTCTTCTGAGAATTGGAATATTCTATTGGGTTTCCGCTTAGATGTTCTCTCCAATCTCTGTACTGGAGAGGACCAAGGAGAATGGTCCTTGGTACTGTTGGATCGCGACAGACTGGACTCGAGATAAGTCACTTTGCGTCCATTCCCTGAACGTAGTCGACCAGGTCCTAAGCAAAGTCAGTAAGCCTTGTATAAGAAATGAGAGTGGTAACACACCATCTGGGTTTTCTGCCATGGCGTCTGCGTCCGAAGAAGCAATCTGGCTATTATTGAGCTCATTCAAAGCTCCACTAGAGCGCAAATTTGGTGGTGTCCCAGCTGTCCGATAGGATGGTGGAGCTGAAATGCATGGAGGGTGCTTTTGCCTTTCATGGTTGTAGGTAGGCTCACTTCTGGGCTGTTGGTGTTCTGCCGACGGCGGCTGCGCGATTGCATGTGATCTCCAGCGGTACAGCGTCTTTCCTGATCCATCGGGGATAGTGAGATTCCCGTTGAGATCTGCCGTATTGTAGGTAACAGGGAGCTGGGGGATAGTGTATTCAACGCTTCCGAGGAGCGTGGTCACTCGAAGCACGTCTGTGATTATTGGTATGCTGTGGTCGGCTCCAGAAACCGTGATGGTAAGTCCTTCCAGGCCAACACAGTGGATGACGAGCTCAGTGGCCATCTAAGAGCGGCTCCGTCAGAGCATGACCACACACCTTGAGGGCAAACTTACCTTGTGCTGGGACGTTTAGAACACGATGACCAGGGAGGTCGACCGCGAGGTCAGGGCAAGTGAGGCTGATAATTTAGCGCAGAAAAGACAATTAATGTCTTCGATGGCTGTTCCCAGCTCAATCTTAGGCTTCGTGTAGCTAGTTGAGTCCAGGAGATGATATGAGAAGGAGGTAAGGTTCGCCGAACCGAGAAGTTGTGGCAGCCCAAGCAGGATTATGAAAGCAATTAGACTTGACGACTTGGTATGCCTTTTTTGGTTGCCTCCCCAATTTTCGGAGTGAGGTCTAATTGCTGTGACTGTGACCGGTTCAAATTCGACCTCTGGAGGAAAAGCAATTGTTGGACTCCAAGATGAGGGGCTAGAGAGTTTAGAACTTCTGACCAATTTACTGTCCTTATAAGTAGTCGATTCAAGAACGTTAAGATTCATGCGTGACTGAAGTGATATTGTTTGTATAGTGCCTTTGGAACTGAACATACTCCATAGCCATGACTCGTTCGATGCCAGCAGGGGACTGTGAAAGACCGGAAGAGAGATCTCAGACTAGACTTATTCACACATAGTCACAGGTTTTCTCACCTATGGGGTAGACGTTGTTTGGCAAGCCGCTCAGCTATAGAGCTGGTGGCTCCGCAAGGGCTGGCCGAGAGCCATCTCTTCGACTTGTCCATCTCATGCCCATGGCTCCTAAGTTTTATTCAGTTCCTCCCACTATTCTAGCATCGCAGCCCTCCCCTTCTTGATGACCTTTATGAGACTTACTCGTGGCACTGAGAGCCCTCAGAAGTCCAGCAACAATTGCGGCGCCAGTTTCTCCAAATCCTCAACCTGCCCATCTCTCAAGTCAGCACGCATCCCCTAGCATGACATGAATCTACTGACCTCCAGAAAGTCGTCTCCAATACCCTTCCCACCCGCCTCGCTCCTCTCGAATGCTGCCCGAGCAATCGCTTCCCTTACAAACGTTTCCATGTACTTCCCCACCACTCCATTCGCCTCTTTCCCTATCCTGACCTTGTCATCTTGGAAGTGGTAATGTAGGAGTTTTGTGAGTAGGGCAGGAGGGATTGTTGGTGGGGCGTCTTGCGTGCCTACACGTGTGGTTGTGGGAAAAGCGTCTGGTTCTTCTGATGCGGATGCATTGTGGGAGTGAGAGGAGACGAGCTCAGCGTCGTCATCGTCATCATCTTCATCTTTGTCGTCTTCTGCGGCGGACTCTATGAAGCTGTGTTTGGCGGGAGCGGACTTGCGGCGGGGTGTGGTTGTCTTGGTCTTGGTGGCTTTGGTGGTAGGGCGGGGAGGTCTGAACGCAGGGCGGCCGCGTTTGGCTACTGGGTTGGAGGTTGGTGGCATGGTTGTTGAGGGATTTGAGACTTGGAGCCTAGGGTGTGTTTGGAAAAGGAGCAACGTTGGACTGAGAAGTCGTGTCGCCGAGGGGGGGAAAACTGCGGTGGGGAAGTGTTTACACACGTGCAGTTTATGGCAAATCGCCCTCCGTAAATTGCTGTTCCAGTGAAGATTATTAGACCATGTTCACAATGAATGCTTGTTACATTTCACGTTCAAGGCATCAATAATTTTGGAGCGATGATCTCATTGTAACATTCTGCTTATGCCTCTCACGAGAGGACTCTTCTCGGTACAGGTACAGGCACGCTTTCCCATCCGAATTCATCGATGCAACGCCTGTCCTCAGTCTCCGTTGTGCATGTTCTACTTCTTGTTTGCCAGATTCTCCTGCACCATACCACCAATCTTTCCATCGGCATTAAAGTGCTGGCCGATGGATCCTTCCTTATCAAGTGGGCCACCAACTTTCTGTGCGGTGCCACCAATTGCTCCATCCGCTGTATCCGGTGTCAGCGTATTCTAGGAATCATCTGGTAGTTGGCGGAGGGGATTTCGTGCCGTTGAACATAGATCCTAGCGCCCCATCCTTGGAGAACATAGAGGTTCCAGTTCCTGTGGTCTTATCACCTGCGGCGGGCTGCATCCCATCAAACATTAGTCTATCAGTTGATGCAAAAGAGGATTCGGAGCCACTCACAATCTGCTTGACCGATTCATGAATGCCAGTACTCATCTCATTTTCTTTCAGGGCCGAGTTGGCGCCCTGCTCAAAGGACTTTGCTGTGTGGTCACCGTCCATGTTTTTCTAAGAGTATGAAAGAGAATTGCAAAGGGTGATGGTAATGTACCGGTCAAAGTACTCCTCCGTAGTGGGATGGCTGTAGAGAATAATGTATGTTTTTGAAGGAGATATCAAAGTTATTTTGTGGAGGCGAGAGTAATCGTCATACATCAGGGTCTAGGCGCGCTTTTACGTCAAGGCGGTCAATGACGCATATAGAAGCTTTGCATTTGCGGAGGAAACATTCCATATTGCACCTATAGCTAAAGCTACAGCTATATTGTCGCCTACTCACAATCATTCCTGTCGCACTGCCGCCGGCAAATCAGTCGTGCCACGCACTGGGTTGGCAGGAAGTTAGCCCATTACTGGCTGTCGCTGATTCCGCCTAGCAGCTCCCAGTGTCTCGCATCGATAATGTACTTATTAGACTCTCAACATCCGAGCTGGACCGGGAAATCAAAGCAGCCGGGTCGATGATCCAAAACCCAGATCAGATCATACAAAGTTTCACTTTGTCTGATACAGATCCGCATGTCCTGTCCTGAGTGTAGCTTCCTGATCTTGGCAGTCAAGAGACTGGTGAACTGGCCGGCTTGTCTCAGGATTGCGGAGATTTTTACGCTTTATGTCATGGTTGAAGCTTGTGTGACGTTGATCTCGTATATTTCTCTCCTAGCTCGACGTTGAAAGTTGAAAGACAAGAGATAGGTGAAGAAGATCAATAAGCCGTTGAAAGCTTGAAACATAGCGTCGCTCTTGTCGAAGATGTCTTGAACTAGAAGTGTGCTGTGCGAAAGAGGGAGAGTCGGTTTGGCGCCGGCATTAATTGGCTGAGCTAGTCTGATTGGAGCGCCACTACCTGAAGCCTCTGGAGCAAAATTGCGCTTTCTTCTACCTAAAGTACCACCACTACTGTATGAACCCCCAAACAACCTTCATGCAGGGCAGACAGTATAGGTAATTATGCCGATTCCCAGATGATAGATGATAGCGTATCTTCCTCATCAGGAGCCATCACACCCAAAGAGTAAAGAGTATCATCCAAAAACCAAGACGATCTTACTATTCCGGCTTGCTGTTTCCCTATTTCCTTCCTTCCTCTTTCCCTCACTGCTCTAAACTAAAGGTAGATAATACCTACGCCACTACTGACCGCGTTGATCTCAGAGATCCAGCCTGACGACCCCTCTCTTTCTTTCTTTCTTCTCCTCTATATCTAACCCAATCATTCGCCCACAGCCTTCCAACATTTTGACCTTGTCCAAATCTCGCGAGTCCGCAGTGTGAAATGCTCGTGCGCTGCAGCCGAAACACATCCATGTCCTAAGAGACTCTTTCATTAGACGCCCTCTTGGCCCTGCATCGCCTCTGTCTTTCTTGCAATCATTACTCATCTCCCCTCAAACCTACCCGAACTTCCCCCTCGCCGTGTCGTGCAGCTGCAGCATGCCTTCCTCCACAAGGTCAAGATCAATCTCACCCGAGTCGCCTCGAGTACCCACACCAACAGCCAACGACTTTCCCACCCCCGCCGGCCAGATATTCACAGTGACCAAGCGTGACCAGGGTCTGGTGTCACCTGCCGAATCTGCCTTTTCCTTCTTCGATGAGGGTTCGCCGCACGCTATGTCAACCTCAGACTTGATGGAGGAGAAGGCAATAGCCAGACCCATAGATCGGGGGACGCCGGGAGAAAGTACTTATGCATCGATCATTACTGGCAACCAGCAACAAAATGAACTTCGAAGAAACAAGAGCCAGTACTACACAGAAGTCTTTTCCTACCGGGAACCGAACTTATCCCCAAGAGATCGGATCAGCAAAGACTCGGTGATCACTGCCGAGATCAAGACGAACGTCATCGTACGCACACCCACTTGCTTCCCACCCTGCTGATGCTGACCAATCTCTGTGTATTCTAGATCACCGACGAAATTCACTTCTTGCAAGATTTCTCCCAGCATATGTCCCAACGATACCAAAGACCTATCTCCTCTATATTCATAACCCTCAAACATTCCGAGTGCCTCCTCTATGCCGGTACTTTCGACCAAGCCTACATTCTCACAGTTAGCGCCCTACCTTCGCAAGTTCTTCCCACAACAAATAAACGCAATGCCGCCTTGATACAAGCCTTTATGGCCGACTCGCTTGGGGTGGCGGCTACAAGAGGGGTTGTGCGATTTGTCGCCATACCAGAAGAGAATTTTGCCTTCAACGGTACAACCGTCTTTGGGCAGATCGAGAACTTGCAGAAGTCTCCAAACAAAGAGAATTTCTCGGACGCTGCATCAATCAGTGGCATGAGGTCCGCGTTGCACAGTCGGGCAGCATCGCGAGCGCAGAGTCGGAGACCCTCAGTATCGAAGCCGCCATCGAGGGACGGATACTCGTTCTACCCGACGACGAGGCCGCCGAGTCCACACCTAAGGGGACCACCTATACCAACATTACCTAACGGCAACGATGCGATGGATAGAAGAGCGGAGAAGGCACAGAAGGTGGGTAAAAGGAGGAGCTTTTTTGGTTTCTTTGGGCGATGACACATCGCATTTACAATACCATCAGCAGTTCGGGTCAACTTGGGTGGACTGGGGGTATGGGACTTGGATGTTAGATACGACTTCCGCTGCTTGGATAGGCAGCAACGCGGTTTGGTCTGGCTTGATCACAACAAGCTCTATGAATACGTGATGAATACAAAAGAGTTGAAACTAGGGGCATGTTCGCACGACTTCTCGGACTTCCTTTGGAAGTGCTTGCTTGTTTGCAGCTGGCTGTGCTGGTTCGGGGGTAGGGATATGATGCTGATGTTGAGTGCAAAGGCCACATCGGCATCTCGTGCCGATGACATGATTCCCTCTTCGAGCTTGGACACTTCCGTGGTGATCTTCCATCCCAAACCAACATCCATTCTACCCCAAACGAACAAACTTATCACATCCACCTATCATGGCGGCACAGCAGCCCACGCCACTTGGCACGCAAGCGCACGTTTCAGAAGATTCTAGTCCCGGCTCCTTCCATCGGCATCCGCGCCTTCAGACCCGGTCCAGGGACATGTACTATTTACCGTATGCCCTTTTCACCATCTCGCCGCCACGTCCTCTGACGCCATCATCCAACTCCGCAAGAGCTCGTCGAGCGCCTCAAGGTTTCTGAAAAATAGCTTACTCGACTGTGGTCGGGAATGGAGACATCATCGTCCCGTTCGACCTAGTGCTGTGCTCGTGTCGCCATCAAACATGAGGCTTGGACGTGCGCTTATACCATCGAGCCCTGGGGTTGAAGGTCCTACTGTCCACAGCTGTTTCGATATCGTAGGTAGGCCAAGCTCGGGAGGTCATCCCAGAAGATGGGTAGCAGACCGAAAGCACCCGGTTGCTCTTCCGATGCGGACGTTGTTTTCAAAGCTTCCGGGAACTCTGCACGTGATCCCACTGTTGGATGGATAGCCTCTAAGATCGCAGTACTGTAGATCGGAGGTTTTGCTTGATGGCATCATTTGCGTCTATGATGCGACCCTAGAGCTGTTTGAATAGGCAATTGGCATTTTGGGCGGTCCCGTTATCCGGTGTCTTTTGGCCTTTCGAGACATCTGCCCTCCATTCTCCAAGTATTAAAAATTGTCGTCAACACGGGTTATGACTTCGGTGAGTCCTGCGTTCGCCGCGGCTCTCAAACGGCTATGTCCACTATTGATGGGCGAGCGGCTTCAGCCCTTCGAGCTGCATCACACATGTCTTGGCCGGTTCAGTTAGTACTACGACCTCATGTTGGCAGGGTCCATGACGATGCTGCGGTTGCGGAGGCATGCTCGCCAAACACGATGAAAAAGCGTTTGAATTGGAATGGACTTTTATGATGGATGGATCAATTACCCACACTCGTCTCGAGAGGAAATATGTAGTACGTCAGCATCTGCTTTATTTGCACAGGTTGCTAAACCTCCTTATTGGTTGCGCCTGACAGACAGCCTTCCCGTGTAACTTCGGAGGGCTGCAGAAACTTCGCCCTTCAGGCAGGCGTCTAAGCAGCTCACATGCACTCGACCCCGTAGATCGATTAGTCTCATCGCTCTTTACTTATTGCGGCGGCCTTTTTCCCGTCATCTTTCACTAGCTGAACGGTAGGAAAATTCACAAGTAATGTCGGAGCGTTCAACAAAGGCATCGGTCACTACGAGTCTCGAGAGGACAGTGCATTAAGGGTTGCGCAAGACGATACTGGCAACGAACAGTCACCCGAAGAGGTTCCTACGCCAGGCATCAATATCTATCCGCCGAGCCAGCTATCTCTTCCGCACTTTCAACTTTCCAGCATGCGAGTTGACTACCCACCCCAGGCGCCAACGATGCCTCTCGCATGCCACCGAGCCCCAACAGCAGCATCCTAATGCAGCAACCATTTCCGGCATGACATTGGGTTGGAGCAGGTGCAACACTTGTCGTCGTAGACTGACACTGAACAACCCGATCCCAAGGCATCAAATGGCGCGGATGACAATGGCCATCTGCTAATAGTACCGAGCGGGTCCAAGAGTGTATTCAGTGAACGATGTGGAAAGATGGAGGATGAACGCAAACTTTTAGTTTCGTCAGGCAAATACATTGAGGACGGAATGCATCGATATTGCGAGACACAGGACCACGACACTTTTGAAGTCGCTTTGCAGGCATTCGATTCTGGATATCGATTGGGCTCAAAAGCAAAAGATGTTCAATGAAGCAGATACGAAGCATCTTTCAAAGATCGCTGTCAATCCTTTACCAGCACTCCAGGAAGATTACAGCCATATCTTTGATTGCTTCGACATCGAAGACGATGACATCCTCGATTCAACGCCTTGCGATCATAGATTGAATAAGCTCGAGGCCGATGAGACGAGTCAACAACAAGTCAGTATTACATCCACGTGATCTTTCTGAGGAAGCTAACATCATGCTGGGAAGCTGTGACCACGGTCCGAACGGCTGCATAGACCCTGACTTGGCGGGTTGGCCACCCAAGAAAAAAACGTGCATACTCATATGAAGGGGCGTACAAAGAACTCAAAGTGAAGGAAGACAGATAGAAGAGAGGACGAGAGGCAGGAGTCATCATCTGGATCGTGATACCAAAGAGAATGCGATGTGATCCCCACCAAGGAAGTATTCGACGCTCGTCCCACAGGCGCAGCTCCCTCGGAGTATGACTCTACGGCTGAACTACTTGCCGGGGTGGAGGCCGCTCTATCAAAGCTGGGTCAGGCAGCCGTCAAAGCTGAGGGGGAAGGGCACCATTGAGTTGGAACACGGTTTTGTGATTGTCCAGATGGTGCTGCATCAGTTCCTGAATATCACAAGATCAACCTTGACTACGACCCATGAAGGCTTGCTCTGCCGTCGTGTCATAAGACACTCCTGGCCCGTATTGGGGTGCTCATTCTATATCCAAGGAGGGCGTCCGGCGGATCAGATAAGAGAAGGTCCATCTTCACATTCGGCGAAATCCGCTCATCCTCAACGACTCAGAGCTGGTATTCAGTCCAGGTGCCCGAGTCACTCATGAGACGAGACCAAATATCTCGTAAAATCGGGGCCTTCTCGCCGCGGGTGAATTGTGTTTCATCACAGCTTCACGAAATACGTTAGAGTGATGGATTTCTGGACTCGGAGGCGACGCAATGAGATCAGGGCACTTGTCGTCTGGATGCTGTTGTTCGTCATATACTGTTGTACTGTACTGATTTATGGTATGTCTATATATGAACATTCTCATTCTATCCGGTTTAACCATCTAAGCCTCCTTGAACCCCAAAATGCCAAAGAACGTCCCCCCAAAGCTTGCGCGCTGGTGCAATTGTTTTTTTTTTGTGAATAGCTTCCATATACATGAACATGAACATGAACATTCTATCCGTTTTTAACAATCTAAGCCTCCTTGAATCTAAAGTTGTCAAAGGAAGTCCCTCAAAAAGCTCGCGAGCTGGCGCAACTGTTTTTTTTTTGCGATTAGCTTCCTTTCATGTTGTAGCATACGGGAGAGGTGAAGAATGCTTACATGTTTTCCATCCTTCATCAAAGAAAAGTGATTCCCGTCCACACTCTCCATCTCCATTGCGTCCCGGCCCAGCAGCGCATCCCATCCGTTGGTTCCAAAGTCCGTCCGGTTCTCGAGGAGCCATTTCATGCTCTTCGGATCGTCGTCCCACGTCTCCGGTCGCGGATCGCCAGGGTTACCGCACACGCCCCGGCGGGCCCAGATGGCCAGCGTCCTCGGCGCCAGCGTCTTGTCTCCGATGGGGACGGGCTTGTAGTCCGCGAGGGCCTGGATGGTCGCCTCGAAGTGGGGGAGGAGCCACTCCGGCGGCTCCATGCCCTCCCCGCCCAGCAGGCCCACGTCCGCCAGGAAGGCGTGCAGGCGCGACGGCAGGGCCTCCAGTTTGATGGGGCAGGGGGAGTCGAAAAAGACCATGCTCTCGACGCGCTCGCCGTCGGCCAGGAGTTGCTGTACGACTTCGTACGCGATGATGCCGCCGGCGGACCATCCGCCCAGGTGGTAAGGCCCGTGGGGCTGGCGGCGGCGGACCTCGGCGAGGAACATGGACGCGATGCCGACGATGCCGTTGGTGAAGTCGGTGGGGCTGGTCATGAAGGGGCTGTTGAGTCCGTAGACGGCGACGCGCGGACCGATGGCGGGGATGCTGGCGTACGAGGTCGCCGAACCGGAACCGTCGGGGAAGAGGAAGAGCGTCTTTTCGGCCGTTTTCGGTTTGCCCTGCATGAGGATCGAGACGGCCCGGGGCGAGAGGATGGCAGGGAGTGGCGACGTCGCGGTGGCCGCCGCGTGCTTCTGGCGCTTCGAGGATTTGGCCGCGACCGGGGCTTCCGGCTCCTTGAAGCCGAGGAATGCTTCGATGTCGTCAATGGAAGGGTGATCGATGAACAGATCGGACGGTAACTCGAGATCCGTCTCTTCCCGCATGATACCGAGAATGCAGATACTCATCAGGGAATCGATGCCGAGGGACAGCAGATCGTTGGACCCTACAACTTCTTCCAGGGCGATGCCCATCTGTTCGGCGATCGTGGTGCGGAAAAGCAGCATGGTCTCTTTGCGACTGCTCCTTTCAGTGCTGATCGATTTCTGCGGTGCGCCGCTCTTGGAGCTCTTTGACCTTGTCGAAGGGGCCGTAGACGCCGAGCCATCGGAGTCGTGATCCTCCTCCTCCTCCTCATCATCATCCGACAAACAAGTGGACGGAGTCGCGATCGAGCCTTCACCTTCTTCTTCAAATCTTTGCAGGTAGGTTCGGAGCTCCCCTACGGTTTCGCACTCGACGAACACCGAACTCTGAATGTCGATGTCGAGCGTTTCCCGGATCTTGCCGCAGATTTGGAGGGACAGTAAGGAGTCGATCCCAAGGTCGCCAAAGACACACTCATCGAGTAGCTCCGACATTGGCAACTCTGACTCTTCGGAAATGATACCCAGGACCTGCGACACTATCGTTCCACTTGATGGAGAGGCGGCCGGAGCGGGCGATGGTGCCAAAGTCGAG